ATAAAGAAAATGATATTTCTGTGGAAAATGGTGAATGCACTCAAGAAGGTAATCTAATAAAACTGTGTGTTAATCAAGTGATATTCAGGATTAATTAAGATTATTTATTTAATTGCATTTAATTATGATTCACAGCCTATAATGAGAGTGATAAGAAAGTAAACGCTGGAGTGCAGTGTCAATTATTACCAAGAAATACGACGAATTTAATTTCATCAAAGCATGAACAAAAATTTGATATAAGCAATGCCATAGCACGTCGTCGATTTGTTCGAAGAGTTTATGCTTTATTAATTGTAAGTATATATAGATTATAAATAATATAGAATGTTTCTTTATAATCTTTGAAAATAATCTATAAAATTAATAATTCAAATTGTGTTAAGTTCACAAAGACTCAGAAACATTTTCTATTCATTAATATTGAGTTTTACAAAAAGTATTCGGCATTTTTAAGTTAAAATTTGAAACATTTTTCCACGAGTTCAAAAATAATTTTATTAATTCAAAAATTGCAATTTATCTATTTGACCTTTTCTGCCATTTATCATTACAACATAGTTCGCTAATTGCATAATTTCGTGAAAAAACGGACACATCTGTTTTTTACAATCCTACTATGAGATTAATTTCACGTCAGCAGGAGAAGTTGAGAAAATCGAAACAGATCACATTTGGACGGTTCTGAAGAGCTCTCAGTTTTTGCCGGGTCATAAGAGATATGTATATTCTAGCGCTGCGAAGACGGAATATAATCTATTCTTTAGAAATCAAACAAAACAGCAGACATATTATCACCCATGTATACGTGGTCTACGCTAGTCAGCTCTATCCACATAATTAGCCTCTTAAAAATTGTTATTTTGGTTGGTTAATCTGATTTTTAATGTGATTTTCGAAATTCCAAAATTTCAAAATTTTACACCAAGATGAATTTTCTATAGCATTAATATGGACAGAATAACGAAATGAATAGATTGATTGCTCTGAGGTGTGATTTTGTAACTATAGAATTAAATATTAATTGTTAGTTTTAATTGTATTTCTATTCACTTTGGTTCTATTATTTGACGAGAAGTTACGAGTAATTAAAATGCATGAAACCCGGCATTAAAGACATCTTCATGTAGCACTTTTGGTCTATCCGATTCTCTCGAAAACTCGATTAAAATTCTTTGGAGCTATCAGTTGAACTTTTTCCTTTACATTGAACTGTTTCTTCAATATATGCTAACGACACAGACATTTCGAACAGTTTGTATCGTGGTAAACTGCCTTTAAGGATTCTAATCTGGTATCACTGCGTACCTGTCATATGTACTAGGTGGATTGATAATTACCTGACTTCATAACAGGTGGCAAAGTCAGAACAAAATTAATTATATTTTATATATCGGCAAGTTTTACACGACAGCTATAATTTTTCGACTTCATCGGATGTTTGGTCAGCTTGAAATAGTGCACCATGATGACTTTTTATAAAATAGAAAAAATTGAATATCGTTCAGTAATAAAATTCCTTCATTTAAAAGGAATAAACAATGATGCAATTAAATTGGAAATGGATTCTGTTTACGGCTACCTTGCACCATCAATAACAACAATAAAATACTGAAAAGTTGAATTTAAATTTTGTCGTGAGAGTGTTTTTGATGAAGAGCCTCCGGGTCGTCCAAAAAAGTCACAACTAAAAAACACTTTGAAAAAATCCACGATATTGTGTTGAATGATCCAAAAATTAAATTGTGTGAGATGACAAAAATATATAAATGTGTATAAAATATTTAATATAAATATTTGGGAACGAAAAAGCTTTTGGCAAGATGGGTGTCGCCCATGAATGACTTCGTCGTTCAACATATTGTTTGGACATTGTTATGCATAATCTAAACCCGCTGACGCATCAATGGAAACCAGGACAAAATTAAATGAATTACGTACGAATTGTATCTTTATGTATTCTCCAGATTTGGCTCCCAGTGAATATTACCTATTTTCAAACTTGAAAAGATGGCCCCAGGGAAAGAGATTTGCATCAAGTGATGAAGTAGAATGAGACTGAGGTACATTTTGAAGGACTTGATATATCATATTATTTAAAAGGTATCCAAATGTTGAAAGATCGTTGGTCTCAGCGAGTCGACCTAAAAGAGGACTACATTGAAGAATAATATACAATTTTCCAAAAAAATGTGTTTTAATTACTTCGGCCGGGTACTTATTAATCCATACGTGGACTCCGACAGTCAGCTCTATCAACAAACCTAACTTCTCAATAATTGTTGCTTTAATTTGTTGATATACTTAGCAATGTTTTGGTATTTGGATATTTTTCGAAACTATCAACAGTCAGTCAGTGTTGTTAATGGCATGATAATTCTCTTTAAGGAATGGGAAATCCGTGAAAAGCTATAACAAAACTTATATGAATGGATTTAAATAAAAAGTATTAAATTAAACAGTTGTGAGTTAGTAAACTTCGATTTAAAATATAAAAATGTAAAAAGAAATTGAATAAAGTCACATTTAGTAACTGATTGTGTTTGTCATCTGCGCGAGGCATAATGTCTTTTCACAGATTAACGCCAGACTTTGCTTTGTAAAAGTTTTTTATACTGAGACTAAATTCAAAAAAAAAATTTCATGTATAATTATTTTATCTGTTATCTGTCAAAAAAAGAGGAATTATTAGATGCTGTTCATCATCTTTAAGTTTTTATACCTCAAAGAGCAGCGAACAAAAAACGATAAATACTTTTTGCTCAATCTAGTCTATTAAATTATAATTATAAATGAATTTATTATTAATTAAAAAAAAAAAATAATGAATTATATTGTATTAAAAATAATTGTTTTTTTACACTAATTATTTACTAATTATTATATGTTCAATAGGTTCAAAATCTAATATCTATACCAACTATAGAAATAATTGTATATAATCATATGAAACCAGTCTCCCCCTTGGTTTTAAATTTGATAGAGATTTTTACCCTAACCTTCGGTATACTAATGTATATATTTCGAGATGTGCGTCGAAGAGCTCCGATGAATCACATAGTCTTCATACTAATCACAATAATACAAGCAATTACGGAGGGATTATGTGCTACAATAATTGGAACACAATGGGTATGCTTTATTTTATTCTATTTCAAAATCTTTGAATACAATTTGCTTTATTTTTGTATTATAGAGTCTTCTGTGTCAAGCTGTCTTTCTAGCACAAGCACTTCTATTAATCGCTTATAGTAAACAAGATTATTTGAAGTTTACGAATTTCAGTGGAATGCTTCTAATGACTATAATATATGGTATATATGTCGTGGTGATAATATTTTGTACACGGCAGTCTGTGTACGCGATTTCATCCAAAGCACTGTTGTCTGCATGTTATGTTATATACGACACTCATTTGATGTTAACTGGTTATCATGGATATAATTTAGCTCCGAATGAATATCTTTTTGCAGCTGCAAACTACACCGCCGATGCACCGAAAATAATGTGGGAAATTTTTAAATTTATTTTTTTGGAACATTTAATAAAAATGATAAAATTTTTAGCAAATTGTTGTCGAGCTGAAGTTTGTTAATAAAAGATTAATTGTGTAATTTTAAATTTTTTAACAAAAAATTAGTGTAAATAAAGTTATTTATTGGCACTGGTATTTGAACTCGTTTGAAATTTTTCCTAACACTTTATATTACAAAGTAATCTTGATGATGATAATAATGAATAGATTATATAAATGAAAGATTAATAAACACTTGCACTTTGAACTATATGTATGAATAACTGTTGTTTTGGGTTTGATTCGGGACCTATATCTCAAAATCATATCGAAAAGCAAATTTTGATACTTTTCAAAAATTGGTTGAATGTACTATTTAAAATAATAGATGGGCATCTGGATTCCGTGAAAACCTTTTTTGCTACCTGTCATAGAACGAAACAGTCCAGGGTGGCACTTAATGGATTTTAGTCGTCTTTTAAACTTTACCTCGAGAATATTGGAACGTCTATATTAAAGGGCGAAGTATAACTGACAGATCCAAGAGGTGATATTAGCACTTATGAATCCCTATGCGTAATTCAGTCACCGATAATGTGTAGAAGCTAGACTGCTTTGTTCTCCACGGAATAATAAAACACTGAGGACAATAAGATCAGGGCGATAACAGTGGTTTCTATGTAATACTCATTCTCAAAAGATGAGCAACCTCAAATATTTTTTGAACCAGTGATTTTTATATGATTTTATTTACTATTTTAATATAACATTCCAGTTAATAAATTAAGTAGTTAAGGTAATATATTATTTAAGCTTCAGATTTGGCAGGGCACGAGTTCAATCACTGGGTATTTGAAGTCTCAAAACATTATTAACGAATATTTATATAATAAATAAAAATAAAACAATTATTTCATTTCTTATTGCAATATGTTAATAACGCCCAGTGTTCGATAAATCGAATACTAATCTTTGTGAAAAATAAAAATTGGATATATATTATATATACCTAATATACAAAACTTCATCAACACATTAAAAATCAAACAAAAAATCCTCGGACGGATATACCAATTAAGGTTGATTTTTAGTGGATTATTTTGCACGAGTCACTATATTTTTTTTGTTAATGGATTTCGTTGTGTTTTTGAAATGTTTTGAATAGGGTTGGGATTTTCAACTTATAATATATTTATTTACTTAAGAATAGAGTATAGTTTCTGTTAAGGTGTAAGATTTGGGAACTATTTCAAGAAGAACGTGCACATCCATTAATACAATCCAAAGAAGTTCAAATTAAAAACAAAACAAAAAAAAATAATAATAAAACTAAATTGTTATATATGGATCAGTTAACAAATAACTGTTAACTGATTAGTTATTTAAAAAATTTACACAATAATTATTAATAAACTTTCCAAACTGGTATGGGAATGCATTGACAAGCCAAACACACTCGGTGGGATCAATCAGGTGCACCTTTTATGGATTCCGGGACATACTGGTATCCAAGGTAATGAAATGCCAGACAAACTTGCAAGAAGAGGCGCGGCATCAATAATGATAGGCCCAGAACCATTTTGTGGTCTAGGCAAAGGAGCTCTATCCATTAACATGAATGACGCAGAGAAAAAAGAGAGAGAACTCTATTGGTTAATGCTACCAAGACTCCCACAATCTAAAATGCTTTTAGGGACTTACAACCTAAAACGCTTTAAAGATTGCATAGTATAGAATAATCACCTATCGAAGTTAGGAAGTCAATCCAACTCAGACTGCAGATACTGCAGGGAAGAGAGAGAA